CCCCAAATTCAGTGACCCCCCCCTTGCACACTCACCCCTGATTCACACTGGCCCCCCACTTCTGCACACTCATCCCGAATCGTGACCCCCCCTTTTTGCACACTCATCCCATGGCTTTACATCGACCCCCCCACCCTTGCACACTCATCCTGCCCTTGCACAGCCCCCCCTGCACAATCTGACCCCCCCTTTGCACACTCAGCCCCCTTTTCCACAGACCCCCCAAATTCACACTCACCCTTCACATTGACCCCCCCCTTTGCACACTCACCCCAAATTCACACAATGACCCCCAAATTCACACTCACCCCAAGTTTTGACCCCTCCTTTGCACACTGACCCCCCCTTTGCACACTCACCCCAATCCCTCCGCCCCCCCTCTCTGTGTTATTGGGGGGGGGGTCACTGTCCCCCCCTCTCCCGCCGGTCCCCGTTGCCATGGCGACGCCGCCACCCACGCAGGGATGCGGTTACCATGGCAACGCATCACCCGCCTGCCCCTTCCCCCCCCCCGCCCATGGTGGGGGGGGGGGGGGGCGTCGGACCCTCGTTGTTGGGGGGGGGGGCACGGCCACGTCTCTGTGTCCCCTCCCCCCCACTCGTGACTCCTCGTAAACAACGCCCCCCCCCCCAAACCCCCACCTCAAACCCCCCCACTCGTGACAGCGCTCGGTAAACAACGCCCCCCTCCCCCCCCCCCCCACGTGAGACCCCCCCCATCACCGACACCTTCCCACGCCCCCCCCCCACAGCCCAGCCCCTCCCCCCCATGAACAGACGCTCCCCCCACGCCCCCCCCCCCACGCACAGCCGCGCCCCCCCCACGCTCCTCTCCAATAACAAACCCATCCCCCCCCCCCCCCCCCCATCCTCCAGCCCCTCCCCCCCACGCACAAACCCTCCCCCATCCCCCCCCCAGCCCCTCCCCCGCCCTGTCCGGTGCGCGGCCCCTTTAAGGCCGCCCATGACTCAGCCCCGGCCGGACACGGGGCCTTCCGGGGGGGGGGGGCGGGGACCGGGACCCCCCCCCCCGCCGCTCCCGCCCCCCCCGCGTTCCCAGGCCCGGCCCGAACCCCCCGAGCCCCCCACGGCACCGATGGGGGGGGGTTCGTGGGTATTTCACCCCCCACACCGCGGGACCCCCCCCCCGCCCCATTCACGTTTCTCATGCAAAGCGCCTCATGAATATTCACGAGGGGCGTGGCCCCGCTGGGCCCCATTCAGTGGGGCGGGCGGGGGGCTCGGGTGGGTTCATCCCGGTTTGGGGGGAGCGCGACACGGGTGGGACGGAGCCCCCCGGGCTTTGTGCCCCCCGTGGGGGGGTCTGGGGGGCGCCGATGCCATCAGTGCCCCCCCCCCCCGTGCCCACCCCCCCCTCGGGGTGTTTTTGGGTTTTTGGGGGGGGTGGGGAGAGCGGGAGGCGGGGGGAGGGTCCCCCACGAGCCCCCCCCACGCAGCGTGGGGGACAAGGGGCCCTTTGTGCCTCGGGGAGCGGCGCGGCCGCCTCCGGCCCCCCCGGGCCCCCCCGGAATGCGAGGCACGGCCCCGACCCACGGACACGGCCCTCACCCCACCGTCCGGACCCACGGACACGGCCCCGACCCACGGACACGGCCCCGGCCCCATGGACACGGCTCGGACACACGGACACGGCCCTCACCCCACTGTCCGGACCCACGGCCACGGACACACGGACACGGCTCCAGCCCCATGGACACGGCTCTGACCCCACTGTCCGATCCCAACCCTACTGTCCGGCCCCACGGACACGGCCCTGATCCGAGTGTCCGGCCCCACGGACACGGCTCGGACCCACGGACACGGCCCTGACCCCACTGTCCCATCCCGACCCCGCTGTCCGGTCCTGATCCCACTGTCCGGCCCCACGGACGCTGCTCGGACACACGGACACGTCTCGGACCCACGGACAGGGCTGTGCCCCCCCGCGGCCCCGCCCTGCCCCATTGCCACCCTCCTGTCCCCCCGCCGTGTCCTGAGGGTCCCACGCGTGTCGCGGGGGTCCCGCCCTGCCCGGCGGCCGCAGCATCCCCGGGCACATCTGGGGCACATCTGGGGCACAGCTGGGGCACAGCTGGACGCGATCCTTCCCCCCACACTCGTGCCTCAGTTTCCCCACGCGGGGCCGCTCCGTGGGACCGGGCACGGGTGGGGTTGGGGGGGGCGATGAGTCCCGGGACCCCCCCCTTCCGTTCCTGTCCCGGTCCCTTTCGGGGCCCCCGCCCGGTCCCGGCGCGGGGATGCGGAAGCGGCGCCTCCCGCGGCCCAGTCCGGTCCCAGTTCGGTCCCAGTTTGGTCCCAGTTTGGCCCCGCTGGCGGCGCGTGACCCCCCCGCGCCCACCCGAGATGTCCCCAAAAGCGTTTTTGGGGGGGTCCAGGGGGGGTCACGCCGGTCCCGGGCGGTTCCGGGCGGTACTGGGAGCGCTGGGAGCGCTGGGCGGCACCGCGGGCACGGGACGGGACCGGGAGCGCGCGGGGACAGCGCGGGGGGGGGGCTCGGGTGGGGTGGGGGGGGGGAAATGGCCCCGTGTCCCGCGTGGGGAGCGGGATGGGAACGGGAACGGGATGGGAGCGGGAACGGAACCGGGATGGGGACCGGGACACCGGGGGTGGCGGGGACAGCGACACGGCGACACCGGGGGGGGGGGGGGTGGCGGGTCCCGCGTCCCGCGTGGGCCCCGAGAGCCACCGAGTGTCCCCCCCCCCATCGTGTCACGGGTTCGAGCCCCCCCGGCAGCGAAACGGGAAGTGAAAGGGGGGGGGATGGGGGGCACCGGGGGAGAACGGGGGGGAACCGGGAGAGCCCGACCGGGACCCCCGGCACCGTTAACCCCTTCCTGCCCGCCGCGGGGGCATCAGGGAGCGCGGGGGATGCTCCGTGGGGCGGGGGGGTCACATAGAACGGGGAGGGGGGGGGCATCATCGCGGTCCGGGGCCGCTGGAGAGCACCGGGAACGGAACCGGGAACGGAACCGGGAGCGGCGCCGGGAGCGGATGGAGGCGGCGGCCGCGGGGTCCATCCGGTGCCGGTGCGGCCGCGGGGCCGCCGGTGGGGCCGGGGGTCTCTCGGTGGCTCCGGTGCGCCCTCCCCCTGCCCGCACTTACCGGCCGCGGGCGCTGCCGGTGCCGGTGCCGGTGCCGCCGCTCGGGCTCTCGGTGCCGCCGCTCGGAGCGGGGGTGGGCGGGGCTTAACGGGGCGGGGTCCTGGGGGAGGGGCTTTGAGGGCGGGGTCAGGAGGGAGGAGCCGCCCCGCCCTCCCCCCCCTGCCCAGGGTCCCCCGCGGGCGAGATTTGGGGTCCCCGCGGTGTCACGGGCCGGGATGGGGGGGACAGGCGGGGACAAGGAGGGGACAGTGTCACACAGGGGCCCGGGCGGGGATCGGGAGCAGGGATCCGGTATTGGGGTCTGGAATTGGGGTCTGGTAATGGGATCTGCAGCTGGGATCCCTTACTGGGATCTGGCACTGGGATCTACTAATGGGATCCCATACTGGGATTCCAAACTGGGGTCTGGAGCAGGGATCTGGTAATGGAATCCCATACTGGGATTTCAAACTGGGGTCTGGTAGTGGGGTCTGGTATTGGGGTCTGGTAATGGGATCCCATACTGGGGTCTGGAGCAGGGATCTGGTAATGGGATCTACTAATGGGATCCCATACTGGGATTCCAAACTGGGATCTGCTAATGGGATGTGGAGCAGGGATCCCATACTGGGATCTGCTACTGGGGTCTGGTATTGGGATCTGGTAATGGGATCCCACTCTGGGATCTGGTATTGGGGTCTGGTAGTGGGATCCCATACTGGGATCTGGAGCAGGGACCCCAGTCTGGGATCTGGGGTCTGGTACTGGGATCAGGTATTGGGATCTGCAGCTCAGATTCCATACTGGGATCTGGCACTGGGATCTGGCAATGGGATCTCATACTGGAATCTGGCACTGGGATCTGGTAATTGGATCCATACTGGAATCTGGTTTTGGGATCACATGCTGGGATGTAGCATGGGGATCTACTGAAGGGATCCCATACTGGGATTCCAAAGTGGGATCTGGTATTGGGGTTTGGCATTGGGATCTGGGTTTGGGATCTGGCAATGGGATCCCATACTGGAATCTAATAATGGGATCCCACTCTGGGATCTGGCACTGGGATCTGGTAATAGAGTCCCACACTGGGATCTGGTATTGGGGTCTGGTAATGGGATCTGGCACTGGGGTCTGGAGCAGGGTTCCCATACTGGGGTCCCTCACTGGGGTCTCTCCCTGGGATCTCTCATGGGAACCTTGTCTGAGGGATCCCATCCAGGGATCTCACACAGGGATCCCCTTCCCCTGGGGACACTGCCTGGTCCTCTGGGTGTTTTATGGCCTTATGACCATCATCATCATCATCATCATCATCATCATCATCATCATCATCATCCTTGTCATCATCATCATCGTTGTTGTCATCATTTTCATCATCATCATCATTGTCACTGTCATCATCCTTGTCATCATGGTCTTTGTCATCATCACTGTCGTTGTCATCATCGCCATCATCATCAATGTCGTCATCATCATCATCATCATCATCGTCATCATTGTCATCATAACAATTTTCATTATCATCGTTGTCATCGTTATTGTCATCATCGTTGTCATTGTCATAATCTTTGTCATCAGCATTTTTGTTGTTCTTAGTCATCATAACCGTCATCGTCATCATCGTCATTGTCATCATTGTCAGCTGTCATCATCATCATCATTGTTGTCATCATCACCATCATCATTTTCATTATCATGATCATCATTGTCAGTTGTCATTGTCATCAACATCGTCATTGTCATCACCGTCATTGCTGTCATCTTCATCATTGTTGTCATTGTCGTTGTCAGTCAGCATCATCAACTTCATCATCATCATCATCATCGTCATTGCCATCATTGTCAATGCCGTCATCTTCATCATCATCGTCACCATCATCATTGTTGTCATTGTTGTCAGTCAGCATCAACTTCATCATCATCATCTTCATCTTCATTGTCTTCATCATCATGATCGTCATAATCTTCATCGTCATCATCGTCGTCATCCTCTTCATCCTCACCATCCCCGGTGTCCCCCTCCAGCACCTCCTGGAGCCACTCCAGGACCTCCTCAGGCCCCGGCAGATCCTCCTCATCCTCCATGTCCAGCCACACGCTGCTGGCCTGGGGACACGGGGGGACACAGGGGACACGTGGGGACACCGGGGGGGTGACACTCATGGGGTCAGTGCCATTGAGCATTGGGGTGACACGGGGGTGACAATGGGGTGATACTGAGGTGACACTCATGGGGTTGGTGCCATTGACCACAGGGGTGACATGAGGGTGACATTAGGGTGACACTCATGTGTCATTGACCATGGGGGTGACACAGGGGTGACACTCAGGGGGCTGGTGCCATTGACCACAGAGGTGACACCGGGGTGACATTGGGGTGACACTAAAGTGACACTCACGGAATTGGTGCCATTGACCATGGGGGTGACATTGGGGTGACACAGAGGTGACGCAGGGGTGACACAGAGGTGACACTCACTAAGTCGGTGCCATTGACCACGCCCAGCTGTGGCCGGGACAGGTCGATGTCGAAGGTGTCCTCCCAAATGGGGACGAGCTGGGGACAGAGGGGACAGAGGGGTCAGGGCCTGTCCCAGGGGAGGGGACAGAGGGGACAGAGGGCTCAGGACCCCCCGGGGGGTCTCTGGGGGTCTCCCCTTCCCCGTTACCCCCGGGAAATCTCCGGGGTCGATCCAGAGGATGCTGAAGCCGGGCTGGTCCCTCCTGTGCTGGGCCACCTCCCTCAGCGTCTCCACAAACTCGAACCCATCTGGGGGGACCAGGGGAGGGTCAGGGGGGCTGGACCCCCCTCTGGACCCCCCAATTCCCTTCCCGCCCCCCCTCACCGAGATCATCCCCCACAGCGAAGGCCACGATGGGGGTCCCGTGCATGGCGTCCTCCTGGAGGGGTCACGGTGACGTGGGGGGGTCCCCGAGTGTCCCCCGAGTGTTCCCCGAGTGTCCCCGAGGTTTGGGGGTGTCTGGGGGGGGACGGATGGCGGGACACCCCCCCCCCACACTCACCCAGCTCCCAGCCGTGCTCTGAGCTCTGAGTTGCCGCAGAGGGACCCTGGGGGGATTTGGGGAGGGTGAGGGCACTCCCAAATTTCACCCCCCCATGGAGCCGCTGCCCCCTCCCCCAAGGCCCCTCCCCGAGTGCTGCTTGGGGGGGGGCTCAGATTGGGGAGGGGGAAGAACAGGCGGGAACGGGGAGGGGGTGCCGGGGATGAGCCCCCCCCCTCAGGACCCCCCCGGTGTCACCGCTCAGGGTGGGGGGGGGGCTCGGGGGGGTCCCGGTGTCACCGGGATTGAGGCCGCGGCGGGGGGGGGATGATCCGGGGGGGATTAAAGGCGGGAATCTCCCGGCAGCACCCGGGGCTTTAACCCTGCCCGGCGCGGGGGGGGGCTCAAAGGGGCCCCGACCCCTCCCCGGGAGCCCCAAAGCCCCCCGGGACCCCCCGAGACCCCCCCGGGGCAGGGCAGCCCCCCCAGACCGGCGGGAGGACCCCCGGGGCCGCCGTGGGAAAAGGAATGGGGGGAGATGGGGTGGGGGTGAGAATCGGCCGTTCCCATGGCAACCACATCCCCATGGCAACCATTGCCCGTGGCAACCTGTCCCCATGGCAACTTCATCCCCATGGCAACCACATCCCAGGGCAACCGGATCCCCATGGCTACCATCTCCCAGGGCAACCACATCCCCATGGCAACCATTGCCTGTGGCAACCTGTCCCCATGGCAACCATCTTGCCATGGCAACCAGATCCCCATGGCAACCACATTCCCTTGGCGACCATTGCCCGTGGCAATCATCTCCCAGGGCAACCAGATCCTGATAGCAACCACATCCCCATGGTAACTTGTTCCCATGGCAACCATCTCCCAGGGCAACCACATCCCCATGGCAACCATTGCCTGCGGCAACCTGTCCCCATGGCAACTTCATCCCCATGGCGACCACATCCCCATGGGAACCATCTCCCTTGGCAACCATGTCCCCATAGCAACCACCACCCCATAGTGACCCCCTTGCATAGCAACCTCTCCCCATGGCAACCATATCTCCATAGCAACCATGTCCCCATGGCAACCATATCCCCATGGCAACCCCATCCCCATGGTAGCAAGATCCCACAGTAGCCACATCCCCATAGCAACCACCACCCCATAGTGACCTCTTCTCACGGCAACCTGTCCCCATGGCAACCACATCTCCATGGCAACAACGTCCCCATGGGAACTCCATCCCCATAGCAACCACATCTCCATAGCAACAATGTCCCCATGGCAACAATCCCATAGCAACCACATCCCCATGGAAACTCCATCCCCATGGCAACTGCTTCCCATAGCACACTCCTCCTCTCAGCATCCTGTTCCCATGGCAACCCCCTGCCTGTTTCCCTGCCCCCTCACTCTGTGCCCCCCAATTTGGGGAGGGGTCCCTTGGGGAGGGGTCCCCAGGGCCCCCCAAAGCTCCGGGGCCACCTCAGGTCCAGACCCAGCACTGCCTGAAACGGGGAATTTTGGGGAATTTTGGGGGATTTTTGAGGAGATTTTTGGGGGAATTTTGGGATTTTGGGGGGTCCCAGGGGATCCCAGGGGTCACTCAGCCCCTCCAGCACCCCCTGGACTCACCTGGGGGTTGAATGTGGCGAGGAAGAGGAGGGAGGGGTGGAAGCGCCGGGTGATGATGAAGGACTGGAAGGCTGAGGGGGGATGGAGGAAACTGGGAGAATTTGGAATCGGGAATGGGAACTGGGGGATTGGGAATGGGGAACTGGGAATTGGGGACTGGGAATGGGATTTGGATTAGGGGATTGGGATTCGGGAACAGGGAATTGGGATTGGGGATTGGGGGATTGGGAACTGGGATTGGGGGATTCGAGACAGGGAACTGGAATTGGGAACTGGGAATGGGGAACTGGGAATTGGGGATTGGCATTGGGGAACTGTGACTGGGATTGGGACTGGGGAATGGGAACTGGGAACGGGGAATGGAGGATTGAGAATTGGGGGATTGGGGAACTGGGAATGGGAACTGGGAACTGGGATTGGGAATGGAGAACACGAATGGGAACTGGGGATGGGAACTGGGAACTGGGGATTGGCATTGGTGAACTGTGACTGGGATTGGGAATAGGGAACACGAATGGGAACTGGGAATGGGATCTGGGAACTGGGATTGGGAATGGGGAACACGAATGGGAACTGGGGATGGGAACTGGGAACTGGGATTGGGAATGGGGAACGTGAATGGGAACTGGGAACGGGGAATGGGGAACTGGGAATGGGAGACTGAGAAATGGGAACTGGGATTGGGGAATTGGGAACTGGGAATGGGGGGATTTGGAATGGGGAATTGGGGGATTGGGATTAGGGGATTGGGACTGGGGGACTGGGAATGGGAACTGGGAATGGGGGACGGGATTTGGGATTGGGGGATTGGGAACTAGGAATGGGGAACTGGGAATGGGATTGGGAATGGGGAATGGGGACTGGGAATGGGGGGATTGGGATTTGGGAACTGGAATGGGGAATGGGGGATTGAGAATTGGGGGATTGGGGAACAGGGAATGGGATTGAGGATTGGGAATTGGGACACCCAGGTGACACAGGTGACACCCAGGTGTGACAGTGACACCCAGGTGTCCCCGCTGTCCCCACGCACCCTGCGCTGTCCCCAGCAGTCCCCGGTGCCTTCGGGCTCCTCCTCGATGTCCCCAAAGTCCCGGAGCTGCTGGGGCAGCGCCTGGTGGGGGGGGTCCCCTGGAATTCAAGGGGGGCTCTGGGCTGTCCCCGGGGTCTGGGGGTGCTCAGGGAGGCTCAGGGGTGGCTCTGGGGGTTTTGGGGGGGGTCTCACCTGGCTCAGGAAGCGCAGCAGCGCTGGCACCGCCAGCTCCCCCGGGTACTCTGTCACCGAGTGTCCCCTCAGCAGCGCCAGGCGCCAGCGACCCGCCAGCCCTGGGGACACCGGGGGGGTGTGGGGACACAGTGGGGGGGCTGGGTGCGGTTTGGGGGTCCATGGGTCTGCCTTGGGGTCCCTGGGTGTGGTTTGGGGGTCTCTGGGCTGGGCCTGGACTGGGGGTCCTATGGGGCTCCTGGGTCTGGTTTGAGGATCCCATGGGGTTTCCTGGGCCAAATTTGGGGGTTCCTGGGTGCGGTTTGGGGGTCCTTGGGTCTGGTTTTGGGGCTTCATGGGGTTCCTGGTCATGGTTTAGGGGTCCCATGAGGTTCCTGGGCACAGCTTGAGGGTCTCTGAGCCTGGTTTGGGGGTCCCTGGGCCTGGCTTAGAGGTCCCTGGGCTCAGTCTGGGGGTCCCATGAGGCTCCTGGGTGAGATTTGGGGGTCCCTGGGTCTGGTTTGGGGGTCTCAGGGGTGCCTGGGCACCGTCTGGGCATCCCTGGGTCCCATTTGGGCGTCCCTGTGCCAACCTTGGGGTGACCCAGGTGTCACTGGGGGTGTCCCTGTGCCCATCTGGGGGGTCCCAGGGGATCCCTGGGCCCATTTGGGGTTCCCGCGGGGTCCCAGCCCAGGGGGTCTCAGGGGTTTCAGGGGTCTCGGGGGGTCTCTGGGTGTCCCTGGGGGTCTCAGGGGTCTCAGGGTGTCCCCGGGGTCCCCGTACCCCACTCCCGGGCCAGCTCCGGCTCCGTGTCCGTGTCCACGATCCCAAATCCGACCCCGTGGGGCTCCAGGGCCTGTGCCACCAGCTGGGGGGAGGGGACGCAGATGGAGACCTGCCACCCCCCCTGTGGGACCCCCTGTGTCCCCTCAGTGTCCCTGGAGTGACCCCCAGTGCCCCCAGTGTCCCCCAGTTTCCTCCCAGTGTCCCCAGTTCTCTCCAAGTGACCCCAGTGTCTCTGATATCCCCCCAGTGTCCCGAGTGTCCCTCCAGTGTCCCCCAATGTCCCCAATGTCCTCCCAGTGTCCCCAGTGCTCCCAGTGCTTCTCAGTGTGCCCCACTGTCTCTCAGTGTCCCTCCAGTGTCCCCCAATGTCCTCCCAATATCCCCAGTGTCTCTCAGTGTTCCCCAGTGCTCCCAGTGCCCTCCCAATGTCCCCAGTTCCCTCCCAGTGTCCCCCAATGTCCTCCCAGTGTCCCCAGTGCTCCCAGTTTCCTCCCAGTGCTCCCCAGTGTCCCCTCAGTGTCCCCAGTACCCCCCAGAGCCCCCAGTGTCCCTCAGTGCCCCCTCAATGTCCTCCCAATGTCCCCAGTGTCTCTCAGTGTCCTGAGTGTCCCCCAGTGCCTCTCAGTGTCCCAAGTGTCCCCTCGGTGTCCCCAGTGCTCCCAGTTCCCTCCCAGTACTCCCAGTGCCTCTCAGTGTCTCCCAGTGTCCTCTCAATGCCCTCAGAACCCCCCAGTGTCCCCTCTCAGTGCTCCCAGTCCTTCCCAGTGTCCCCTCAGTGTCCCCTCAGTGTCCCCCCAGTGTCCCCAGTGCTCCCAGTCCTTCCCAGTGTCCCCTCAGTGTCCCCAGTGCTCCCAGTTTCCTCCCAGTGCTCCCAGTGTCTCTCAGTGTGCCCCAGTGTCCCCAGTGTCCCCTCAGTGTCCCCTCAGTGTCTCCATTGCTCCCAGTTCCCTCCCAGTGCCTGTCAGTGCCCCCCAGTGTCCCCTAGAGTCCCACAGTGTCCGCAGTGCTCCCAGTGCCCCCCCAGTGTCCCCAACATTCCCCCAGCGTCCCCTCACTATCCCACCAGTGTCCCCAGTGCTCCCAGTTCCCTCCCAGTGTCCCCCCAGTGTCCCCAGTGTCACTCAGTGTCCCCCAGTGTCCTCCCAGCGCTCCCAGTCCCTCCTGGTGTCCTCGGGGCACCGTTGGAGCAGCGCCAGCACCGGGAACACCGTGGGGTCCCCTCGTGTCCCCTCAGTGCCACCTCCGGTGTCCCTCCCAGTGCCCCCAGTCCCTCCCAGTCCCTCCCAGCGCTCCCAGTGCCCAACTCCAGCATCTCCAGCTCCTCGGGTCGGTGCCCGCTGTCCCCAGGACACCGGAGCAGTTCCAGCACCGGGAATGCCTCAGTGTCCCCTCGTGTCCCCTCAGTGCCACCCCTTGTGTCCCCCGCTGTCCCTCCCAGTGCTCCCGGTGCCCACCTCGAGCGCCCGCATCTCCTCGGGCCGGTGCCCGCTGCCGC